TGTTTCTTTTGAATTTCTGATTCTTCTGATTTGGCTGTGGTTCTAATTGATATGATATTTTTGATGAGTGATTTATACTTTTGGCAATTTATTTAAATGTTAGCTGGCAGTTGTAATGCAATAGATTGTTATGATGGGTTGGAGAACAACAGATTGTCCAGGTCGGTCAACTGCTCCCGACTGCATTACTGGTATAGTTGTTATGAAATCAATCATGACCATGTTTATTTGTAATAGAATTACATGCATTCAATCATTTGTTGGTATATATTTCATTAATGTGTAATAATAGAGTAAAGGAGGAATGATTTGACAAGATAGGATGGAATAACAAGGTCTATTTGTTTAAGAACAGGTTAGTTGTACCAGTCCATGTAAGCTTCTGGGCACAATTACATGGTCCCATTCAGGTTTTTCCCATGCAAGTTCTAGTGGCCTAAACTAGAGCCTTCAGATTGGTGTTGAGCCAGGACTAGTAGACTGCTCTTAGGTTGGCTTGAATGCTGGTCCTACAGACTCTATGCGGGATCTTACCAAATTCAGTTATGCCTTTATATTTTAAGAAGCAGTTGATTGATATCAACATGTAGTTTTCAATAGAGTATCTAACTACCCATTTCTAAGTTTCCCTTCAGGTAACTTCTTTAGGATTCGTAGTGCTTTTTGTTTTGGGGCTCAACGACTGGCAAGGTTAATTGAATGTCCAAAAGAGAATCTAATTGCTGAACTGAACCAGTTTTTCATGAACACATGGAACAGGCATGGGAAAGGCCATCGCCCCGATGCTCTGAGTGTTGATATGCATGGTCTGCAATCTGGTAACTTGAATAAGATTGATAGGCCTGATAGTTTCAGGTATGGTTTAAGTAGCACCAGGGATGAAGTGACAGAAAAATCTACCTGTTATACATCTGAGATGACAGGGAGTCGTTTTTCTCTCACACAACTTGGTGATTCTTCCCAGCATGGTAAACATACCCTGACATGGATGTCTAGCACTGGTAATGGATCTGCTGTTTCTCATACTGAGAACCGGAAAACTTGCACCAATGCTACTAATCCAGCATCTTCCCATCAGAAACATCATGATTTGCAAAATGTTAGTTCAAATGAGAATACACAAGTTGATAGGAGTAGAAATTCTAGATCTGATTTCTTGAGGAAAGAAGTACGTGTCAGATATCAGTTTGGGAGGACATATTCTAGTCCGGAACTCACAGATAGATCCAGTGACATTTTATTTAGATTAAGGAGTGGTAGTGTATTAGAATCAGGCAATGGAAGGAATGCTCCAACAAAGTCAGATAATAGGAGACAGAACTTTTGTCCCGAAGGTTTGGACAACCATAGTGCAAAATTTCCAACTGAAGATCACCCAATTTCAAGTCAGAACTCGTCCCATCAGCATATTGATTCTGCTGTTGATTTGCATGGTGCTTCAAATAGTTGCTATGATGGTTCTGGCATGGGTTACATGGGAAAACACAGCCACCCTGTTGCTGAGACAATGCAGATGTATCAGGAAGAGCAAGATTTTGTGAACATGATGGCATCCAGGTTTAATATCAATGGACAGGTTCAGATGCAAGTTCCCATATCACCTACTGTAGTATCTTCACTGGGATATGCTAAAAAGAATCTGGTTGCGACCGTTCCCACAAATATTCCTGTTATTAGGTCCCCTTGGATTTCCAAGATGCATTATTCTCAAGGTTTATTTCCCTTGCCAGTATCTCAATATCATCAAGGTATAGGAATGACATCAAATAGAGAAGAATTTACTAAACTAGTTGACAGTAATTTGATATCAAAGGAGTTGAATCAAGAAGACAGTGATCTTGGTTTCCAGCATGAGCAGAACGTTGATTCTCTAAGAGATTATGACCACGGTAATAGAAATTTACAAGCTCGACAGCTGGAGGATAGGCAACAATTTTCTTTGGGGTGTAGTTCATCTGAAGTTACAGATAGTGGAGGTTTGATTGGGGAAATATATGTTGGCAGTTTCCCTTGCGAAAGGATTTGGGAAACTGATGTTAAGTCTGGTGCCAGTTCAAGATTTGTATCTTCCCAACCTATTCCCTCGAGAATCAAACCATCTTCAGAGAAGTTCTGGGATGGATCTCCTTCTAGACCTTACAAGTCAACACGGGATAAGCATGGCAGGAAATCAGTTTTTTCTACAGACCCTTCTACTAAGGAGGAGTTGGCTAGGAATGGAGGGCATAATGAGGGTGAATCAGTTGATCCTGTTTCTTCTGAGTCAGATGAGGCCACAAGAGAGCAGATCCCACTTCCAACAGCATGCACTGATGTTGTGGAAAGCTCAGTTTCTGGATCTGTTTTTTCTTCACATGTTCAGACCCATCAAGTACCTCGTTATGAACCGGCATTAGTGAATGGATCAAATTCAGACCTTCCGGTTGCTTCAGTATTTGTAGGTTCTCAATCAGAGCATAATGATGGCAAAAACCAAGGGGTATTACCATTTACACTTTTTCCAATGTGGACAGGAGTCACAGGAATTCGATTGCCAACTATGCTTCCAATGTATAATCTCTCAACTGAGACAGGAATCTCTAGTGCATCAACGAACCATTATGATGGGGATGAAGAGTTTGATAATTGTCCAGAACATCAATCAGATCACAGCTTAGATTCAACTGAAAGCCATGATCAGTCAAAGCTTTACAAAACGTATAATTCTATGAAGGATGTTGCTTCTTTGGAGCCATCTGAACATCACGAGACTGACATTTTAAAAAGTGATTTTGTCAGCCACTGGCAGAACCTGCAATATGGGTGGTTTTGCCAGAAGGCTGAACTGCATGGGCCTTTACATCCTTCCCTCGGTATGGTGCCACCAATGTATGCGCGGGAACATTTCACATGGGATAAAACTGGAATACCTCCTGCTGCAAATATTAACCTCCTCTCACAGCTTATGGGTTATAGTCCTAGCTTCACTCCGGTTTCCCCTAACCAGCCTATAGATGATTATGAGCACCAGGATGAAATACCCAGATGTCGTAGCAGTACTGGAACTTATCTGCCCATTCATGTAAGATGATGGGTTTCAAATTTAACTATTGTATATTTTCTGATGGTGTGGTCTTCATCTTATGCTGAATATTTAATGCCTGATTTGAATTAATAGTTAAAAGTTAGGTGTAGTATTTAGGTTAAGTACCTTGCAGTGTCTTGCTAAATTCCTACTGAATTTTCTGGAAATGTTGGTAGAAATGAGGCTCTAATAGTTGTGTGATTTGAGGGGACCTAACCGGGGATTGCATGGAAGACTTAACTATCTGAATATGTTTTATTTATTTATTTATTTATTTTGTATTTGTTTCTGTGAGTAACCTGCTTAGCTTCTGAATGCCTGTTTACAAAGGAATCTGTGATGTTCTGTTTATGTTATACATTTATTAGCCCTGACCTGGGTTTGGTATTAATGGAGAGTCCTGTGTTGCCTGTTCGATGGGGGAGCTTATTGGGATTATCTTCTGTTTTTCTTTCTGCAGAAGAGGTCTTTCCGTGGCCGGAAATCTTCAAATACCAGGAATCACAAGAGGTATCATCGCTGTGATCGGAAGGATCATGTTGGTGAGAGGGAAGGAAGCTGGAATGCAAATTCAAAGCCACAACTTCCTGCTCGTGGCCAGGGTTGTAACCAAGTTAAGAAGCCAAACAGGAGAATGGATAGGGCTACAGCAAGCAGTAACCGATCTGATAAGTCATGGGATTCATTTGAGCATGATTGTCTTCCGTCATACCATTCTCACAGTGTTCCATCAACTATCTCAAACTCCATAAATCATGGCTCTGCAACTGTGGCATCTGGCATGAATTCCTTACCATTTGTAAATCCTAGTGGTCTTTCTACCTCTGGAACTGCTGTACCATCCCTAGTTAAGCTCTATCCATATGATCAAAACATGGAAGTTGGTTCTCTTGCCGAGCAGCTTGAGTTTGGCTCTCTTGGAGCAGTTCGTTCAGGTGCAGATGAAGCAGCACATGTTGTTGAGGGTTCATCAAGGGTTGTTGATGAGCAGCACAAAAGCCATGACCATTCTGGACTTTCTTCTTTGGATCAGCTCTCCTTTTCTCAGCTTCAAAGGTAATAGCTCTTCTCATCTCTCAATATGAATGTGATATTTCATGGGTTTGGAGCACTATTAATATTGAAGTTTCCACCAACGTTCTGGTTGTAAATACAGTCTAGCTAGCTCTGTATTGATTTTTTGAGATGAAGGGTCTTTGCAGTACAATCTTAGCTAGATAATCTTCTTGTTTGACACTTGTGCCAAGCTGAATTGGGCTGGTCATAGGATAAACGAACTAGATAAGAATGAACTAAGTTCAGGCATGAGCAGGCCCCCAAAATTTTTCTGGAAATGACTCCCAACAGTTAACAACTATTTTTTTAGTTTCTACCATTTTCTTCTGTCTGAATGTGCCCCTCTGGTGTCTGCCAGTTGCCATTGGTTATGACTTAAAGTGACTGGGCAAGTTCAAGTAGTTTGTTAGATGATCAGTTGTGTAACCAGTAGGACCTGGAATAAGTCATTTGATTTGCTGAGTTATTTCTTGAGTTTTTCATCTTTCCTATCGAAATGAGTGTGATGATGTAAATATGTCATCTTAACAGGAATGCTTGATTTTGCTAGATCGGCTGACTGAAGAAATTATCAACTCAAGAGATTCAATTGGAGCAAGCAACTATGCCGCCACCTGCCTAAGCCTAACCATACCGAGCCACTGTAAACTTAACTACTCACTTTTAGCAAAATCTTCATCTCTGCTCCAGCCACTTGTACATTCCTTTCATGCAATTCGACGATAGCCACTTTGTGAACGGCCAAATATGTTTGTGGGAGGGAGAAGCCATATTTGTAGTACATAAGATAAGAGTGATTGTGATGTTGAAAATTCAAAAGGATTATCGTGTTTCCATTTCGCTCTACAGGGTTCATTAATTCACTATTTACTGACTCAGATGAAGAATTAGTTATATTTTAGTTCATTTTTCACTTTTATGGTGCGTAGAATCCACCAACTTTTCATTATAAAGAAAAAAGCGACTGTAATTCTAATCGCTGACTTGTACAGTCGTTTAATACACACCAAAGCATATACAAAACAGCTAAAGCCTCCATTTTATAGGCAGGCCATTCATTGATCCTAATATACAGACCATGATAAAACTCGGTCTGAACTCAACTATTTATACCCCAAATTTGAGAATGTTGTCTAGTTGAAGAAGAAGATTTCCTCCATCTTGCTAGACGCAATAAGAAAGTCAATACTTCTGAAGGATCCTTTAGTGAATATGAAGCTTTAGTATCCTTTGGAGTTGAAGATACGATAATGGGAAACCCTCGCCCTCTACTCTTTATAACCTTGAAAGCGTCTTCATCTGTTCGATCATCTCCAATGTAAAGTGGTAGGACATCGCTGGAATTGCTCAAGCCCAGAGTTTCCAGTAAATATTCCAGAGCGTGACCTTTGTCCCACTCTATCGACGGTCGTATTTCCATAACCTTTTCAAAAAACGTAGTGGGTTAGAAGACAAACAATTATATAGCACAGATTTGTATCCATTAGTTTGAATGATTAATTTTTCTTACCTTTTTCCCCTCGCTTAAGTGAAATTCTGGATAGTTTTTCAGTACAGATTTCACCTTCTCCTGCAGTATACTGTAATCCTGCAAGTAAGATGTAACTGAGATTAATTGCTTATTTTCTTGTTAAATGATATTCACAAACAGGAAAATCTTCATTAATTTTACCTCATCTCGGACCTGTCGAAAGTGTACAGAAACACAGAATCTATTGTCTTCAACGCTGGCGCCTTGTATTTTCTTTGTTTCTTCTTCCAACTCTGTGATTATCTGTTACCAGACAATGAAAGTATTACATGAGATTCAACAATTGTATTCACTAAAAACTGCATGATGGATGGCTAATTGAAAGAAAGAAGAAGATTAGCTTAATTACCTCTTGAATTGCAGGCAAAAATTTCTTAGCAGGCTGAAACGCTACTTCATTCCCCTAGCAGATTAAATAACATTGTATTAGTTTGAGGGGTAAATAATTATAATTGGAGGAAACTAGAAAGCGAAAATTAGAGCAGTAGCTGACCTTAATGCCGGGGCTAATGGTATGATACTTGCCATCAGAGGACTTAACTGGCCTCGGTGGTGCCTTAATGTCCATTCCATGGCTTCCAGCGTAATAGACATTACTCAACTGTACAAATTGCTTCACCTAAAGAGTCCAAAAGATGAAGAGTCAGATTCACCATGTACCCAGCAAAAAATATATTAAAAGTACGTAGAATTTAACTCAGTTAATATGTACCTTCTCTCGGCTCCTACCACTCACAATAGCTGTAGGAAAATATTTTGCAACTTCACGCACCGCCGCACGCATCTGCAATTAAGATGGTTAAATGACCAGATTAAGAGGTTTTGTATATATGATGATGATTAATTAATTGTATTTCTAATTACGTTACCTCATCGGACATGAAGGCTTTATCAGGGTCATCAACAATTGGTGAGAGAGTCCCGTCGTAATCTAAAAACACGGCAATCTTCTTCCCTTTTGCTGCTTTCATCATCCGTTCAAATGAGTCCAGCGCAGAAGGGTGTTCAAACTGCAACATGTCCATGCATGCAAATTTTAACGTTTAACTTACTTCATTCAATCTCAAAACCTTTTCGTATAATCAAAATCTGACGCAAAATATTATGACAAATGTACACGTATTAGATAATGAAAAGCCTACCTTCCATGGTGTATAAGATTCAATATCTGAGATGATAGAATCAGGTGGGACTAAGGAGTGAGCACTACCATTCTCATCGTTCTTTGCTTTTGAGATGGGTTGCAGTTTCCGTTTACTGGAATGTGATCCTTGAAGCCCCATTGCTTGCAGGATCTTGAATATCTGAGAATGTAAAAGGATCAGATACTTAAGCAAATTACGAATTTCAAGACCATCAATAAAGATCCATTCCGCTTGTGCAGATAAGAATAAGGTACCTGAATTTCACTTATCATGCTGAATATACTAACTTAGTCTGATGCCTTTTTCTACAGCTTCAAAATAACATACATATATAGATATTCCTGCAATAGAAATATTCGAATAAGACAACTGGCAAGTTGCACGAAGTAAACAGAGGACCCAAAAGAAAGTCCTTAGAAAGTCCTTACATGTAAAATATCTAACGCGCCTAATAAGAGTTGAAATATGTGGTTCTCATTTTTTACCTGTCGGAAGTCTTAACCACTCGGCTTGATTAATATTTACTTGGTCAAAATAAAATCAGCTTCTAAAAAGTGCTTTTTGTTCAACAGAAGAAAAAGACAAAAACGTTTTTGAAAATGATAATGAAATAAGCAGAATTAAGAAATTAATTTTGTCAAACAAGGACATTCAAAGGTCGGTGGTTTAACCTAACACGCATACATAAAAATGAAACCAAAATTCCACGTGTAAGTGTACAATATCATGAACATTATTAATTACAGTGGGAACTTTTTAGTCTAAATTAANTATAGAGGAGTGGGTAGTGCCACCAGAGGTGGCTAACATTATCATCCACCCGTCATTCAAGAAGACAGCAAAGGGGAGAAAAAGAGTTAAGCGTATTCCATCAGCTATTGAGGTTTCGCGGAAGATGAATAAGTGCTCAATTTGCAAGCAACCTGGCCACAAGAGAAGCAGTTGCCAAAAGCAATCACATGCACATCCAGAAAATTAGGTTCGAAAAAGGATGAAATTCAGTGAGTTGCCAAGGCCAATCGTTGATGAGTTATTATTTTCAATTATTGATGTTATAAATTTTATATTTCTTGTTACATGGCCTAAATATTTGTTGTGATTTTAGTTTGAAATTAGGTTGCCAAATTGAGGAGAAAGTATGGAATTAATACGTGTTGGTAATTTTAGTTTGTCAAAATTCAGGAGAAAAGTAGGAAAAATATATATCGCCAATGATCGCTTAAGTGACTAAGTATATCGCTTAAGCGACTAAGGGTTTTTCAAACAGGATCGCTTAAGCGATATAACGGATCGCTTAAGCGATTGTGCAACTGGGCAGATGATTCTACCCAGGGGCACGATCGCCTAAGCGATCCACGTTTGCTCAATCGACTAAGACAAAAAGACAAGAATCGGTTAAGCGATATCATGGATCGCTTAAGCGATCGTGCACCTAGAAATATTTGATTTTGCCCAGGTGCACGATCGCTTAAACGATTTACGATCGCCTAAGCGACGAAGACAAAAATAGAAGAATCGTTTAAGCGATCATGCACCTGGGCAGATTTGATTATGCCAATCACATGATCGCTTAAACGATCCACGATCGCTTAATCGACCAAGACAAAAAGACAAAAATTGCTTAAGCGATATCTAGGATCACTTAAGTGATCGTGCAACTGGGCAGATGATTTTGCCCAGGGGCACGATTGCCCAAGCAATCCACGTTCGCTCAATCGACCAAGACAAAAAGACAAGAATTGCTTAAGCGATATCAGGGATCGCTTAAGCGATCATGCACCTGGAAATATTTGATTCTGCCCAGGTGCGCGATCGCTTAATCAACGAACACAAAAAGAGAAGAATCGCTGAAGCGATCATGCAGCTGGGCAGATTTGATTCTGCCAATCACACGATCGCTTAAGCAATCAACTAAAAAAGTAAAGAATCGCTTAAGTGATATATATTATCGCTTAAGTGACCTTGTATAAATGAAGTTCCTTTTATTACCATCGCTTAATGGACCAATGAAAGATTTGAAAATTTGACAAATACACCCCTACCTACCCAACTTCCCAGATCCTGGCCACCACTGTCGGAAACCTGCCGGGAAAGGGCGTTACGATGCATTACGGCCGGATCAAGCTGATAGGGCGTCGATATGGCCTTTTTCGGCCACATCGACCACAGATGTGGTCGGAAAAGGCCAGATCACGGCCATATCTAGCCGTCGATGGACGGAATATGCGACATTTGGCCGTCAACGACGACCAAAGATATGGTCATCGTTTTCGGTCAACGATGCCCAAGATTTGGCCGTCATTGGCCGTCAAAATTAGCTATTTCATTTGAAAGTTGATGACGGCCCGATGTGGCCTTTTCTGGCCAGATCCACAGTGGATCTAGCTGGAAAATGTCACATCTATGAATTACCGGCCATTTTCGGTCGTTTGTAGCTGTCGGTGGTGCCGAAATTTAGGAGGTTTGGTGGGTAGGGGTGTTTTTGTTACTTTTGAAACTTTTTTAGGCGGTATTAATTAAATTAATTCAGTTAATGGGTCTAAAATTTATTAAAAAAATACTTATGTTTGCAAAATAATTAAACAAAGAAATATTATGGGAATATGATTTATAATATTTATATGAATATTCAACCAAACGCACCCTTTATGTTCTGAACAAACATGAATCATAAACCCTATATGTTTAGCATAGAGGTAAACATTCTACACTTTATATGTTTCATACTGACGTAAAAGAACTATATGTTTAATATAATTATAATAACGGTCATAGTCCACTATAGTCCACTGAACGAATCGTATACCCTATATGTTTAGCATAGACGTAAACATTCTACACTTTATATGTTTCATACTGACGTAAAAGAACTATATGTTTAATATAAATATAATAACGGTCATAGTCAACTGAGACGAATCGTAAACCCTATATGTTTAGCATAGAGGTATATATTCTACACTTTATAAGTTTCATACTGACGTAAAAGAACTATATCTTTAATATAAATATAATAACGGTCATAGTCCACTGAGACGAATCGTAAACCCTATATGTTTAGCATAGAGATATACACTCTACACTTTATATGTTTCATATTGACGTAAAAGAACTATACCTTTAATATAAATATAATAACGGTCATAGTCCACTGAGACAAATCGTAAACCCTATATGTTTAGCATAGAGGTATACATTCTACACTTTATATGTTTCATACTGACGTAAAAGAACTATACCTTTAATATAAATATAATAACGGTCATAGTCCACTTCAACGAATCACTAAACCGCTATATGTTTAGTATAGAGGTATACATTCTACACTTTATATGTTTCATACTGACTAAAAGAACTATACCTTTAATATAAATATATAACGGTCATAGTCCACTGAGACAAATCGTAAACCCTATAGTTTAGTATAGAGGTATACATTCTACACTTTAATGTTTCATACTGACGTCAAAGAACTATAGGTTTAATATAAATATAATAACGGTCATAGTCCCTGAGACGAATCGTAAAACCCTATATCTTTAGTATAGGAGGTACATTCTACTTTTATGTTTCTATTGACGTAAAAGAACATACCTTTAATATAAATATAATAACGGCCTAGTCCACTGAGACAATCGTAAACCCTATATGTTTAGTATAAGGTATACATTCTACATTTTATATGTTTCATACTGACGTAAAAGAACTATCCTTTAATATAAATATAATACGGTCATAGTCCCACTGAGACGAATCGTAAACCCTATATTTTAGTATAGAGGTATACATTCTACACTTTATATTTTTCATACTGCCGTAAAAGAACTATACCTTAATATAAAATATATAACGGTCATAGTCCACTGAGACGAATCGTAAACCCTATATGTTTAGTATAGAGGTATACATTCTACACTTTATATGTTTCATACTGACGTAAAAGACACTATACCTTTAATATAAATATTAACGGTCATAGTCCACTGAGACGAATCGAAACCCTATATGTTTAGTATAGAGTATACATTCTACACTTTATATGTTTCATACTGACGTAAAAGAACTATACCTTTAATATGATATAAATAACGGTCATAGTCAACTGAGACGAATCGTAAACCCTATATGTTTAGTAAGAGTATACATTCTACACTTTATAGTTCATAACGAAAAGAACTATACCTTTAATATAATATATAACGGTCATAGTCCACTGAGACGAATCTAAACCCTATATTTTAGTATAGAGGTATACATTCTACTTTATATGTTTCATACTGACGTAAAAGAACTATACCTTTAATATAATATAATACGGTCATAGTCCATTGAGACGAATCGTAACCCTATATGTTTAGTTATAGGTATGCATTCTACACTTTATATGTTTCATCATCTGACGTAAAGAACTATACCTTATATAATATAAATAACGGTCATAGTCCACTGAGACGAATCGTAAACCCATATGTTAGTATAGAGGTAATTCTACACTTTATATGTTTCATACTGACGTAAAAGAACTATACCTTATATAAATATAATAACGGTCATAGTCCACAAAGACAAATCTGAAACCCTATACTTTGTATGGTGTTAATCGCTTAAGATCTAACGTTCGCTTAAGCGAGCTCCTAAACGAGTCTTTGTCGCTTAGCATATAGGATCGCTTAAGCTATTATTATCAAGGCAGAATGAACATCTGCCCATATGGGTAATCGCTTAAGCATCTGACGTATCGCTTAGGCAATGCTTCCTAAACGAGTCCTGTCGCTTAAGCGTATTAGGATCGCTTAAGCGATCTTTATCAAGGCAATGAACATCGCCCATATGGGTAATCTTTAAGCGATCTGATGTCCGCTTAAGCCATACTTCCTAACGATCTCTATCGCTTAAGCGTTTTATATCGCTTAAGCGAGTTTATCAAGGCAGAATGACATCTGCCCAGTTGGTATCGCTTAGGCGATCTGACGTTTCGCTTAAGCAATGCTTCCTAAACGAGTCTCTGTCGCTTAAGCGATATAGGATCCTTAAACGATCATTCAGCACATGAACATTTGCCCATATGGGTAATCGCTTAAGCGTAGAGGTGGCAGGACCGTCCCTTGCGGTGCCAGGCCTAGGCCTGTTTGGAACTGGTCCCTTGGGACTGGTCCCAAATGGGACCAATCATTTATGGGCCTGGACCGGTCCCTGTCCCAGTCCCATGAGAAAAACCGAGACCTGACACGGCCCAGGCCTGGTCGGACTGGTCCCATGGGCTTGGAATTTCATTTTCCCCCTCAATTTTTTTTTATTTTTGTGGGCAAAACAAATTTTATTGGGGGTTTAATATTTTTTAGGGGTAAAATATAAATTTTTTGGACCTGGAAGATTTTTTTTTTAATAAATTTTGTAAATTCCATTTTAACTCCCGTAATTATATTTATTTTAAAATAATAAGGGGTTTTATTTAATTTGGCAAGGGACTATATTGAAAAAATACAA